TTTATTTTTTTTGAGTCAGAGTCTCACTCTGTCGCCCAGGCTGGAGTGCAGTGGCACGCTTGTGGCCACCACAGCCTCAACCTGCTGGGCTCAGGTGATCCTTCTACCTCAGCCTTCCAAATAGCTGGGACTACGGGCATGCACCACCACGCCCAGTTCATTTTTTGATTTGTTGTAGAGATGAGGTCTCGCTAAGTTGCCCAGGCTAGTCTCAAACCCCTGGGCTCGGGTAACCCTCTCACCCTGGTCTTCCAAATTGCTGGGATTATAGGCATGAGCCACCGTCAGAAGCACCTTAAAGTCATCTTCCACCCAGTTTCCCCAGGTTTATCCCAGTTTCCCTAGCTGGTGCAGCCCCAGTCCTCCCTACCCCCAGGCTAACACAAAGCATCAGCTGTGACTCACCCTGCCCACCCAACCAGTCCCTGGTCCTGAGAGTCTGCTTTGGCAATAACTTCAGTAAATTGTCTTCCTCCAGCTGTCACTCTGGCCTAGCCACCGTCATCCCTGGGAGCGTGGGCCACCATCCTTCCTCATCTTCCTGCCCAGGTCTCATCTCCTTCCTATGACTCTCCTGCCTGAAAACTCTCCAAGCTCCTGCATGTCGCACTTGGATCAAGCCTTCCTCTTCTGCCTCCACCTTTTTATTCTACCTTACCTCTGGGGTCCATCTGTTCCAGGAGCCTTGACTCTTACCGCACTGGGATAATGCTAGACACACCACATGCTGGGCATTGACAGCCACTACCTTCAGCCTTTACAACTGCTGTGCAGCATAGGGATTACAGTATTGTCCCTTTTACAGACGAGGAAAACTGAGGTCCAGAGAGATCATGCAGGTCACATGATTGTCTATTCCTCCTGTGAAATGGACCCCATCACAGCCCTTCCCTCCGCTGTAAAAAGTTCCTACTGTTCCTTGCCCCAGTGCTCCCCCTTCCCCAGCTTCCTCAAGTCCCCCAGCCCACAGCCCGACCACACAGTATGGTTCCAGCCCACACTGCTTACTCTTATCTCTTCCCTTCTCTGGCAGGAGTCTCAGCCTTGCACAACTTAGCACTTGATTGGGGATTGCCTTGTGTTATCTGTTATTTCACATCTGCCTGTCTTATTCCAAAGAAGCCTGACAGTACCTGAGTTAGGGGATGGAGTTTCTACTGAGTCCTGTCCCCTAGGCCAGTACTGGGCTGGGAACACATGTACTCAGTGGAGCTGACCCTGCTTCGCAGGAGGGGTCTGGGTCTCTGCTGTCCAAAAGCTGACTGGGTTTCACCCTGACACACTCACCCCTTAGTGGTGTGCTCAGATCTCTGCCTGCACAGATGTGTACACACACACACACACACACGCACACATTTTTCTCTGTCACACACACATCTAACCAAAAGCTCTCTTCCCAAACAGAAGCAACACCTGCCTGGAGCTACCTCTCCAAGACAGAAAACTCCCTCCTAACTGAATTCTGGGCATGGGCCTCACTGTGGAATTCTGATGGGTTAAGTGAGGCCACCAGAGTTGGTAGAAGCTCTCCAGAACCAAGGAAGCCATCAATGTCACATCCAGAGGCTACAGCCAGACTGCATAGGTGGCTGAAACCTTGGGGTCTTGACTCTAATTCTGGTCCTGTCCCTGTGTGGTCTCCGAGGGCAGTAGGAAGATGTGATCTTGCCACATTGGTCTTTGCGATATCTCTGTGTAGGGACATTTTTGGGGCTGTGAGGATGACCCCTCCTCTCAGGACCACGTGGCACAGCTCCTCAGGGGCTTGATGGCAGTCCCTGGAGCTAACCCTGGTCCCTTCGTGCCACCTCCCTCTCCAAAACATCTCTCTTTCCTGACCCTGACACCCTCACCTGTGCCCTCCCCAGCTGTTTGTGTGGTTCCATATTGCCGTCTCGGACTTCTCATTTCAAAGTGGGACAAAGAGCACACACATGAAGCCCCAAACACTTAGAACCATCTGGCTTTCAGGTTGTTTTCTTCCTGGACTCTTAGGAGACAGCATGAGAGCTTGGCAAGAGGGCACTGGCCAAGGGTCAAAGGGTCAGAGAAGGGCACAAAGAAGAGAATGAGTGAGGAGTGGAGAGGAGGTGGTGGGTGGGGACCCAAAGCCAGACTTGTCTTCTTTTACAATTTTGCCCATGGCCAATCCTAACACACACATCAACAAACAAGTGAATAAACAAAGGGGTACTTATGTAAGAAGAACACATAAAAATAATTGTGTAACACATTACACATACCACACAGTCTGGAGGAGGCAGGAAAGGGCATCTCTGGAGGGGAGGGGGCACTGTGGGTGGAGTGTGTCCCTCAGAAAACCAAGACCAGAGCCACACTGGGCAGCCCAGCCTCTGGTGGGGAGCACTGCTCTCCAGGAAGAAGGCTTGTTAGGCCTTCACTGCCACAGCGTGTCAGGGAGGGAGGCACCCAGCGAAAACCACCGTGGAGGTTTTGCAACTGGATGCTGAAGCCAAGGGCTGAGCAGTGCCCGCCTCCTTGGGCACGGCCCTGTGGAGCCATGAGCGTGTCTAGGTGTACCCAGGATGGGCGGAGGGCTGAGGAACCTGTCCCCAAGATGAAGTAATGAAGCCATCGGTGGGCTTGCAGGATCAGGACCCTGCTCACGCCTCCAGGGGGCCTTCTGCACCTTGTCCCGGGCCTGGGGCCCCTTCGAGACCTTTGGGGCTGCTTCTGGCGGAGCTTAACAGAGACGACCACATTCCAGCTCCAGCTGGCAGGGAAGTTGGGCAGCCAGTTCCAACAGGCAGCGGCAGCCCAAGCTCCAGCAGGCAAGCCTTGAAACGTGGTTCCTCCTCCCCGCGGGAGGCCGGAGGCTGAGGAGATGGACGAACAGGTGTTCAAGGGGGACCCGGACACCCCTCATTCCATCTCCTTCTCGGGCAGCGGATTCCTCTCCTACTACCAGGCTGGGGCCGTGGATGCCCTGAGAGACCTGGCCCCCCGGATGCTGGAAACGGCCCATCGCTTTGCAGGGACGTCAGCAGGTGCCGTGATTGCAGCCCTGGCCGTCTGCGGGATTGAGATGGGTAAGGCCTTTGATCTGGGTTCCGTGGGGAGTCTCTGGAGGGATTTCACAGAGCAGAGCCTGAGGGGGGCTTGGAGATGCTTTGGGGAACAAAGCCAGGCAGGAAGAGAAGAGGCAGGTGGAATGGGACAGTGGGCAGCTGTGGCATCTGAAGGCTGAGGTCTGCCTGGTCCCAGTCTCTGGTCCATGGGATGAGTCTGGACACACCTCTCCCGCTCCCTAAGCGCCAAGTTGGTCTCCCAGGGCTTGGGAAAGTGAGGGCTCTCCCTCAAACATCCATGACACAGTCATACACTGATTTCAGTGTTGCTCCCGCCTAGCCTCTTTTAAAATGCAAATTCCCTTGAGAGGAGCAGGCCTTCAAATCCCTGTCACTTTGGTGGGGATGGATCTGTCCGCCAGCTTCCAGGTGGCTTGGAAAGCCCTGAGGCTGAGGGGATGAGCCGAAGTGTCCCAGAGGGGGAAACCAGAAAGTGGGTGGGGAGGGAATATGGAAGCCCTCGCTTCATCTTCTGCCTTACTGGTCCAGGGCCCCGGTGAGAAGATTGGGCCATGCTGCTGGCACAGGGTGGAGAAGTGTCATCCTGGGCAGGGGACCAGACAGGTCTAGCAGCCCCAGAGAACCTGCCCGACCGCTGTGTAGGCTGCCCCAGGGGGCTCTTATTCGTTTGCTGATCTCGAGTTCTGGGCCAGTCTCTGTTCCAGGCTCTAGGGACAAAGTCCCCCTCACCCTGCCCCTGTGGAGCAGAAATTCCAAAGAAAAGAGACATCATAAACATTCAAACAAGCAATCTTCCAATGTAAAGTCAGGAAGTGATACGATCAATGGATGATAAAATTGCAGGAGAAAGGGGATGGAGAATACAGGGGCAACTGTTTTAGAAAGGCAGTCAGGGATGCCTTGCTGAGGAGGCCACCTTCAAGCAGACTCCTGAATAAAGTGACAATTAGCTACCTGAAGATCCTGAGAAAGAGCATCCCTGGAGAAGGAGCAACCAGGAGCCCACAGGCCATAGAGTGGTGGTGCGGAGGAAGAGGGTGGAAAAGAGATTGGAGAGGCAGAGGAGCCAGGGTGTGTGGAGTCTGCGGTCGTAGTTCAGGCTCTGATTTTATGCTGAGAGACGTGGGCACACAGGCATGCTGCGACAGAGGCTAGGCGGGGAGGTGGCGGAGAACACGCTCTCCTCGAGTTGGATCCCAGCTCTGCCATTTTCACATTGTGGAACCATGGGCATGTTATTGAATTTTCTGTGCCTCAGTTTTTCCACCTGTAAAACGGAATCTCCCAATAGTGCCTAATTCCCATGATTGTGAAAGGATTAACCGAGCTAATAGGAATGAACCGCTTAGAACAGTATCTGGCACGTGGCAAACACTTGGAATGTGTCGATGAACTGATCTGGGTTTATAAGATTCCCCTGGGCAGAGTGTGTTGTGGTGAACAAGGTAGAAACCAGGTGAGGGAAGAGTTGGATTCGGGATGTGTTTTGAAGGTAGAGGCAGGCTGATTTGCTGGGGGCCTGGCTGCACCAGGTGTAGGCAGGTGTTCCTTCCTGCCTGGGAAACTCTGCTCCCGGTGAGGTGTCTTTGTTTTAAAGAATAATCGTAAGCCATAACAAATTACAATAAATATATATGCACCTAACGCCAGAGCACACAGATTTATAAAACAAAAATCTATCAGATCTAAAAAAAGAGATAGATAGCAAGGCATAATAGTGAGAGACAACACTCCACTGACAGCGATAGACAGATCATCAAGGCAGAAAGTCAACAAAGAAATATTGGAGTTAAACCAGCCCCTAGAGCAAATGGAACTAATAGAAATCTGCAGAACATTCCATCCCAAAACTAGAGATGGTACACCTACAGTATTATACCCACAAATAGAAAATAGACCCCAAAACTATATTGGCATATTCAGAGATTTTTTTTTCTTTTTAATGTTTCAAAAGTAATAAATTCTCACTGGGCAAAATTCAAACACTGCAAAAGTGTACAGAGCAAAAATATAGAGAATATAAAGCCACCAGTCACCCGCTGTCCAGCCCCATGCTCCCTCCTGTGGTGAGTGCTCAGAGCTCGGTCTGGATCCCTCCAGACCTTTTTTTAATGCACAGAGTCCTCTGGGAATGCAGCATTTAATGCCACCTTACCCAGTGGATCTAGGCCAAGCCTTCAGAAAGGGGCCTGGGGTGAGAGCCCCCATGCCCTATCCTGAAGTCACAGAATTCCTGCCCTGGAGAAACCTGTCTCAAGGGTTCCCCTCCCTTTCCAGGGACCTGTGTGGCTCACCTGCTCATTGCTCACCTGCTCCATCATCTTATCCTCCTCTTGTCTTATATCAACTTCTTAAAATACACTATTTGAGACCAGGTGCGGGGGCTCATACCTGTCATCCCAACGCTTTGGGAAACCTAGGCAGGAGAATCGCTTGAGCCCAGGAGTTTGAGACCAGCTTGGGCAACAACATAGTGAGACCGCGTCTCTATCAAAAAAAAAAAAAAAAAAAAAAA